ACAAGGAACAGCATATCTCCTTGCTCCTCTCCCAGCTTTTCCCCTCTTTCCTGCTGTAACCTTGAGCAAACCATTTGTCCAACTTGTGCATCACCTGGCTGCCAGCACTCGTAGCTGGCAGCATCACCCAGGTTAGCTGAAATGCCTTCCTCTGGAAGCACAAATGAATTGCATTGCTGCAGGTTTGTCCTCAGCTAGAGTTCAAACATGAGCTCATTCCATAGCTGACCTGGCACGTGATAACCTCTTAAACCATCATAATTTATGCATACACCCAAGACCTCAGTTTGGTCTTCTGTAAAGATCAGAAGGATTATACTTATTATATTGAGGGTAACTATAAGCCATTAATGTTTAAGTGCTTTAAAATGACTGTATGAAAGATTTCCTATGTCCATTTTTTTTTTTTTAATATATGACTGTTAGGAGACAGAGTATCAGTATTAGGAAACAATTTTGGATATTAGGAAAAACTTCTTCACCAAAAGGGTTGTCAAGCATTGGAACAGGTTGCCCGAGGAAGCAGTTGAGTCACCATCCCTGGAGGTATTTAAAAGATGTGTTGATGTGGTGCTTAGGGACGTGGTTTAGTGGTGGACTTGGCAGTGTTAGGCTTACAGTTGGACTCGATGACCTTAAGGGTCTTTTCCAACTTAAATGATTCTGTGATTCTATGATTCTATGAATTATCTGCACATATTTAAAGGTGTTCTATTTGCTACATATCAGTGGGAAACTGACCTCTGCATCCATCTAGTTATTTTTGCATAAATTAATCACTTGCAGATAAAGGCACATAAAACATTAACATCAGGTCATACAGGAATGATACAACTTTAATAAATCTATCTCTAACTGTTTTTGTATTTCATAATCAAAGAATGAAGATGCTTACTTTTCATCATGATGCTTTTTAATCAGGACATTCTAAGTGGCTTAACAAAGGCAGATCATCTAGAAGGAGCATTTTATATTTCAGTACTTTTGTCACATTAAAAACGTATTATGAGCTGAGAATTTTGCATTCAGAAAAAATGTACTTCTATTTTGTCTCAAGTACTTTATTCTACTAAAATAATGAGCTAGATTTTTAAAAAAAGAGAGAGACATTGATATTATATTTCCTGCTACAAAAACTTACAAAAATCAATTGCTGTTTATAATGGTAAACATTGCATATTCTTTTTAATTTTGTTGATTCGATATATATCTCAGGGCAAACATTAAACAGGAGAAAACAGCATAATGGTGAAATTGCCAATACCCATACAAAGGGTATAGATTTATGTAATTTCCTGCTGGCCAAAGCACCATGAAGTTATCCATCTCTTCATCTCTGCTGATCAAGAAAGGATGCTTTTCTGGATGCACTCTATTATAACCAATACACTGCTATATCTGGTACTGAGTTCTATTGCCTACATTGCAAAGAAAACAAATTAAATGAGCAACAGTCTGGCTTTTTTCCCCTGTTTTTAAAGGTTATGAAAAGCTCTTAAGTAGTTGGAACATGCAGACTAATGGTTTTGTTACTCAAGTCCGTGATTCAGTAAGTTTTACTCTTTAGAGTATCCATTTTTTAATAATTCCTTTTAACCTGGAAGGATTATTTGTTGATCTGTTTCTGAGTTATTTCCACTTCAGTATAAAACACATTCTTTAATTAGAAGATATTCAGTTGGCCTTTTAGATTTACAGACTTTCTTTCGCATTGGCATTCACTTCCATCCACATGCTGAATGCTGAATTCTCCAGATGACTAAGACATTGCTTAAATTCCTTAAAGGGCTTCCTACAGGGAGACACATCCGTTGCTTTTTGTGACCCTCAGTCTTAATTTCATTCTGCTTGTGACTGTATCATCTGCATGGTTATATTTGAGATATATATTACAGTGATATTGGATAAGAAAGAGAACCTGCACCCAATTTTGCTGGTGTTAATGTCCCACACCACCGTACTCTGCTGGTCGTGCCACCATACACAGACGACGGATGTTGCCTCAGTTTATAGCAGGGGTGGGGCTGTTGAGGTCAGAGGCATAGAGCTGGGTGGCATGCCAGAGGAGAGACTACACCAACACTTTTCCTAAGGAGAACATAATTTTCCTCTCTCTGTGCAGCCAACTTTGTCATACAGTGTGAAGAAACTCCTAGTTATGGAGAGAGTATGACATGGGGCAACATCTGGAAAAGAGTTAGGACTGTGAAGTGCAGGTATGCGCCACCAGGAGAAGGTGGCTCTTCTTCTCTTTATGTACCCAGGCAAACCACCTAGATTTTGGTGTTCATCTCCTTTCCTGTTTTCAGGAGGCCTGCTTTCAAACTCCTTCTGAAAATATGCCATTTGGGCCTGTAAGCCAGGCCTGAGCTGGCTTGGCCTGTTGTGGCACCATGACTATCACTGAGCAATTAGATTTTTTGTAGTGGGTCATTCCTCCTTTTGCAATGCTAAATTCCACATAGTGATTAGAAAGCTTTTATACTCAAGATGTCTGCATTTCTTCTTTAGGATTTATCACAATCTTGTCTGTAATTTTGAATGCCATATATTGTCTTCTTGGAAGAAGGGGCAGG